TGTTTCTAATATATTTAATTATGTTCTTTTGAATTTAGAATGTTTAAAATTTTTTATTATTAGTTATTAAAAATTGTAAAAGTGTTATAAAAGTATTTATTTTTATTACAGTTAAATTTTCAAAAATTAATATATTTTTATTAAAATATATAAATAATTTTTTCTATTGAAAATAATGTAAAATATAAAATAATAATTTTTTCGTGTATATATTTATTATGTTAGTTATCTATTAGTTCATTATATTTATAATTTTCAATACATTTAATTTATTTAATTTATTTTTAGTATAAAATTTATATAATGTAATTTTAATATAAAAATAAATTATTAATATTTATATTTTCTATTTTATGTTGATTTTAATAAATTTATATATTTTACAATTAAAATAATTTTTATATAAAAATTAATTATTTTAAATTTATAAAATAAAACTATAATATAATAAAATATTATAATATAATTAATAAATTATCAAAATATATTTATTTGTGTAAAATGCATAATAAATTTTTAAGGGCATATAAATAATAAATTTTTTTTATAGAAAAAGCTATTTCAAAAAGTTGGGTAAGTTAGCTTTTCAGAAATTAGTTTTTTAGGCCCAAAAAGTTATTCCTAAAAGCTAATTTACCAAACATCTAAATTAGCTTTTTGACTGGTCAAACAGCTAAAAACTGTTCAATAAGCTAAAAACTCTTCAATAAGTTATTTGTCAAACACCCTCTAAATCATTATTTCATATGCAAAATGCTATATATATATATATTTGAAAAAAAATATATATTTTCTTTGGAAAATGTTTTGTGTACTGTGACATTTTTTTGATATCTTAAATTATTTTTAGAATATTAAAAATTAAAATTAATATAAATAAAGATTTAAAAATAAATTAATGTCGCAAAATAATATGAAAACCTACGAAAATGCAAACGCACCCTAATAAGGACTTTTCTTTGAAGTTTATATATATATAATATATAATATATAATTTAATTGCTATTACTATTTCTTTTATTTATATTTTTAAAGTAATTATGATATTGTTATTTGTATCGTGACTTCAATTTGAATTGAAGTGTGAACAATGGACAATGGTCTATGAATAATTTGACGATATGTTACATTGAAATTAAAAATTTTGAAATCATCACTTATACAAATATATATATATATATGTTGGATCCTGCGACTCGGAATTCCAAAATAGCTCGTCGATTTCGTCGGCGTGGGTTCCGGAAGTACTCCAGAGAGCCAATCCGTCGTCGGGCAATGCGAATTTCACACGATTACTGAACTAAACTACGATTAACTACGGAAAACAAGTAAATAAATTGCAGAAAGCATACAATCGAGATTAAATTGCATAAACGAAAATAAAACAAGGAAGAAAAATATGAAAAGATGCGATTTGTTCTGTTGTGCGTGTGTGTTATCTTTATTTTTCCTATTTGTAATCTTAGGCCTGAATAACCACTTCTCCCACTAAAGGGGGTGGTTACAAATTATTCCCACTTCTTTCTACTTCTCTTAACCATCAAATAACCTCCTTTCATCAGTTCCCAGCGGCTTCCATTGCTCCTGGACCGGGTTCCATTCGTCTTGAGCATCTTCCATTATTCCTGGACCAAGTTCCATTCGCTTTGGATTTTTTCATTGCCTTCAGATCATACCTGCAACCTACCATGATTCGTTTCCATCATACTCCCAGCCGGTCTACGGGAATGTGTTCCCGACAGCCTTGAGTTACATGGAGCCCTCACTCTTCATGGTCTTCCATTAGTGTCATGAGGTTGCCGATTCAGAGTTGATGGAGCTTGTCGTTCGAAAGTCTATGAAAGTCATATCTTCTTGCTCCATGGAAGCTCGGAACTGTAGTTATTGTATTGACTACAGTTATGTTGACTAGAATAACCCAGTCATCATATATATATATAATCAGAGCATATCTATGTTGCCGTTTTTGTTCGTCTCACGTCTCATGTCACTTTTTTTTTTTGGAAAGTAATTACCCATCTTAATTTTATTTTAAAATTTCTAATTTAATTCTTTTTAAATTTTAATTAAATTAATTAATTATCTTAATTTTAATCTTAAAAAGTAAGTGATTGGATGGATGAAACAAAATTTTTATAAAACATGGTTGTGTATGTTTGGTTTTGGTGAGAATACTTTTGAATACCCATATATGACCGTATTTTTTCTAAACACGGCAGTGTTCAATTCAGATCAAATGCCACGTAAAAAGCCAAATAGATGTCGCATCTGATCTGAATTGAACACGGTCATGTATGAGTATTCAAAAGTATTCTCACCAAAACAAAATATACACAACCATGTTTTATAAAAGTTTGTTCGATTGAAATCCTTCATCTGTGACGTTGTCCCACCCATTCATGTAAATAGTAGCGGCGGCAATTGATGTAGAGCAAAATTTTGAAATTGGGGAAGAAGGAAGCATCATCGTCATCGTCATGGTGAAAGTAGTGGAGTAGTTGGGAGCGACTAAGAACCTCTCCTATACCCAATCGCAATTTTTATTGTTCATCAGCCATCAGAAAATGTTGTGGAGCTTTGTATCCATGGGGTATCATTTTTACTTGCGGCTGCCGCAACAAATCGGGGAGGATGAGAAGCGATTATGGCGGTGGGTCGGAAGGATTTGGATGAAGATGGTTATCAAGACTAATTTAAATGCCGGCGGTGTAGTTGTTGGTATCACCAACAATAATCACCGAGAAAAAACTTTGGCCGATATAGGTAGAGGAGATTGATTAAAAGATCTCAAATTAACTAAGACAATGAATAAAGTAAAAATGAAAAATGAATTATATACTACAACATACAACATACAACATTCATCCAGTACAACATATGTTTGTGTTTTTATAAAGTACGACCGTGTGTGTTTGGTTTTGGTGAGAATATTTTTGAATACTCAAATACGATCATGTTCAATCCAGATTAGATACCACATCTGGTCCGATACGTTCACGTCAATTTTTTTTATTATTATTATGTTTTTAAAAGGATCAAATTAAAGTGACTAGAATTATTTATAACAGAAACAAAATTGATGATATCTTTTTTTTATTATTATTGTGATTGAAATCAATTGTTTTTACTTTCAATGGGATACTTTTGATTTTTTCCTAATTAAACTTTAGTATAATATAAAAAAATAAAAATATATATTTTGATTTAATTTTTCTTTTTAAAAATTTGTGAATAGTATAATTAAACCAAGAAAAACCTACAACCAAATGCACCAATAATTTTCAATAAAAAATAATTATCTCATAAATTATCTAAAACATAAAATATACTGCATTTGTGGAATTGAAAGTATTTTATTTTTATCATTTTTATTTGTTCCACTAAAAAGTATACAATTTATATTTTCGTTTGGTCCGTTACGTTTACGACAACTTTTTCCGTTAGGTTTTTAACGGTGAGATTGAAGAATACTAAAATTATTTATAACAGGACCAAAATTGATGAGTCTTTATATAGGGAATAAAATTAATTATTTTTACTTTCAATGAGACTACTTTTAATTTTTTTCTCAATTAAATTTTAGTATAATATAAAAAAAATAAAAAAAATTTTAATTTAATATTTTTGTTAAAATAATATAATAAAACCAAGAAAAACCCACAGCCAAATGCATCTATAATTTCCAGTAACAAATAATTTTTCATAATTTATCTAAAACATAAAAAAATATTGCATTAGTCCAGTTCAAAAATACTTTTTAACCATTTTCATTTGTTCATTAAAAACGTACACTTTATATTATATTCCATCCGTTATAGTTTTTTTTTTTTTTGTCTATATTACCGCAAATATATGAATTTAGGTAAAATAAAAATTAAATAATTAAGATATATATTAATAAAAATAATTATATATTAAAATTAAAATAACTAAATATTTTAATTAAAATTAAAAATTAAATTATAAATTATAAAATTTAAAATATGATTAAAATATATAATTATATATTTGTTTAAAAAAGACAAATCATATGAGATTGATTAAAATATAAAATATGAATATATTATGTAGAAGGGAGAGAGTAGTAAATATCATTTAACTTTTACATAAATTATAAGCATATTGTTACATATATAATTAATTTATATATAAAATAATGACAACAATATTAAAATAATTTTATATATATCTACTTACTAATAAAATATTATTAAATTTTAATTTATTACAAAATTTCAAATGACATTTAGATGGGACGAAAAGAAAAGAGTATTTTAGTATTACTTTCACAATTTAAAACAATTAATAACAAAAATTCAAAAAAAAAAATAGAAACAAAATAAAACATCATTATTTTAATATAAATTACAAATATATCATCAACATTTAATACAAATTCTTTACTTTGTAATAACAAATTTATCTAAATATTTTTACTTATTATTAAAATATTACTTATTATCTCTCACATTTTCTCTCTGTATTGCCATCTTAATTTGTACCAAATAAATTTCTTATGGTAACTTTTTTTCAAAAAAGGATTGTAATTTAACTATATTTTAAATTATATTATTTATTATTACAATTTAATTATAATAATTAACTATTTTAATCTTATCCATAATAATTTATATTGTAACTTAATTATTTTTATTAACATATTTTTTAAAGTATTTATTAAATAGGTTACTTAAAAAAATGTTGTATATCTAATCGTACATAGACAAGGAAAGAAGTACAGCTATTTTTTTTAATTTATTAAAAATTTAAATAAATATTATTATTAAAAGAAAAAGGAAATTTGAAATAAAAACGACTTTCCAATTAAAAGCCTTTAATTGAGTTGCAATAATGAAAACACAGTGAGGATCCTGAGGCGCGTGTTGTGCAGTCAAACCGGCAATATAAGTAATAAGAACATTTGTCTTGCGTGAAGCGCGTGTGCGAGCGCGCGTATATAAATACGGCTCCGAAATTTTCATTCCGCACTCCTCATCACTTCCATTTGTAGTTCATCGCCTCATTCCTATCTCGTGTTTCCTCTCTTCGCTCTCCACCACAGCATTTCTTCCTCAATATTCAAATCTCTTTTCATTTTCGGTCTCGTTCTTGCTCCTGCGCTCGTTAATTTTCCTGTTGGTATGTTTCTCGCTCCTTTTTTTTTTTTTTTGATTCGACATTATGAAAAATTGTTGCGTGAATTTTTGTGTGATTATGTTTTGTGCGTCTGGAATATGAAATTAGCTTGTTGATGATCTGTTCTGGGGGTTGATTACGCAGTTTTAGATCAAAAATATTTCGTTGTTTGTTTACTTTTTTGCATTTTCAGTAATTTGATTTTGTTATTGTGCGTTTGGAATGATGATGGAGGAGGTGATGGATTGACGTGACAACTTTTCCATCGATGTATAATTCACAATTCTAGGTTGAGTTGATTTTAGGTTCTTTGAATATTGCGTTCAGTACTTTGGCGTGGGGTTGAGATTGCTTTGGTTTGTCGTTTATGGATACGTTCTCTTTTCAAATTCATCTTCCTTTGGGAATTGGGATTGGCTGTTAGTAATTTATTTATCATTGTTTCTTATTCCAGCTGTCTGATGTGATTTTTCTTGCCTAAAAGTTCGTTTGGTTCTCTTGGATTTAACCCAAGAAATTATTCTGAAACTATCTATGCAAAACATTGTATTTTACATCAGAGAGTCGGATCTTCTTGTGTCTTCGTTGTTCTGTGCGAAATTTGTTTTTATCTGTTAGGTGTGACTTTATATGTTGAGATTTTGGTGAACTACTTCTTCAAGAAAAGTAGTTCGTTAAAACTGGTGACTACCCTGTTTTGTAGTTTGGGAATTTCTTGAAAATTGTTAAGTGAAATGATCAGAATAGGAGAGATATTGGTAGCTGTAGTCTCAGATTATTTTCATTTTTCACTAACTATTACTTTCTGCTGAATTTCCTTAAATCTTATTTTATGTATATATTTATGATTTTGGTAAATAGCTCTTCAAAGAAAACAGTTTGAAATTGGTATGATTGTTAAGAGTATGGAGTTTGAACGTTGAACTTGTAGGGTTATGAAAGTTTGGAGATATGTAATAGTTATTTTTTAAAGTTATATGAAAGTTATAAAAATTCTTCATCCAATATGATATGTTGAATGTGAAAATTTGACCCTCTAAAGTACTGAAGTTATTATTTTTTAGCAACAAGCTGAAAACACCATAGTTATTTCCGATCTCACTATTTACTAATGGCTTCCCTTGTTATGAAAAACTCAAATCCGGATGTTATATGTTTTATACGAGCATGAAAGCTGTCAATTTCTTTCTAAGTAGTTTCTTTCTCCACGCCTAATGTTTAAGTACCGTGCCTCCCTTCCTCCAGTTATATGGCTTTGCGGCAAAACTTTGGATTTGAATCAGATGGGGATGTCTCAAATAAGCAAAAATGGAGTTCAGTATCATCACAGTCAGCCGCTGTTGTAGAAAACTTAAGCGGGTGTTTCGATTGCAACATATGTTTAGAATCATCTCGTGATCCTGTGGTCACTCTTTGTGGACACTTGTTTTGTTGGCCGTGCATTTACAAATGGCTTCAGGTTCAGAACTCCTCGTTCGATTCAGACACCCGGCCTAAATGCCCTGTTTGTAAGGCGTACATCTCTGAGTCGTCACTTGTACCTCTCTATGGCGGAGGGTCGTGCGAATCTGAAGCCGCGAAACCTCAAATGGACTTGGCCATACCTCAGAGGCCACAGGCACCTGGTTCAAATGCCTTGTTATCTGCTACAACATCGAGGAATTCTCACTCGAATCAGCACCGGTCGTTTCATCAACAGCAGTACTTTTCCAACCACCCGTTTGGCAGCTACATTTCAACCATGCCTCCTCCTACATTCGGAGCCTCCACAACGACGAGTTTCAGCAGCCCTACGATTAACATGGTTGGTGAAATGGTGTTTGCTAGAATGTTTGGGAGGTCAGATACGAGCTTATTAGCTTCTCCTTATTCGAATTCTTACCTTATCCCAGGAAATGGAAATGGCAATGGCCATGGCAGTCCGAGGTTGAGAAGGCAAGAAATGGAGTTGGATAAGTCGCTTAACAGAGTTTCGATCTTTCTGCTCTGCTGCCTCATTTTGTGCCTTATTCTGTTTTAGATTCTCCCCTGTTTTGTACACCTCTGTATAGATTTCGACACCCTTCTAGCTTCATAATGTTCGTTTGTTTTATACACAGCGCCGTTTGGTTGGGCTATATGAAGCTCTCTGTCTTGCTGTTTATCATCTTGGTTTAGCCGTGTGATCTCGTCTATCGATCAGGTTGTTTTGCAACTGTTTTTTTTAATTTTATGTTTATATAAACTGATAGGCTGCATATGCGTTGTTTTCGGGTTCTTTTTAGGTGTTTTCTGTAGGTGTATGTATCTTCTTTCTTGGCCAAATCGAAATGTTGTATTGGAAGTTTTTACGTGTGAAAATTGGTGTGCATTTTAAGAATGGTTGATGTGTGGTTTGAGGTATATGCAGAGACATTTTGGTTTAGTTTTGTGTTACTTTTCGTTGCTTATTTCTTCTTTGTCAAGCAATATTTTCTTTCCTGCATTTTTTTTTTTTTTTTTCAAAATTTGTACACATCAATTACCACATAAATGTGTGTTCCTTTGGCACATAGTTTGGGAAATTTTTATTGTGTTAGGACTATTTAGTGCAAAAAAGACACTAAACCGACCGAAATATACGAGACAAAATTTGAAGTGTAGGTCTATAGGATTTGATTGATTTTTCAAATAGAAAATTACAAATCGCCGTGCACGGCCGCGCTGCACGGAAGAAATTAATTGCTTAATATTTTCAGTAACAATAATTTAATATAATATATACAAATATATATGTAATTTTATATAATACAAATAAATAAAATTATATAGATATTTAATTATAATTAATATAAATAATACTCAAACCACACAATTATTTACACCATCTCCAACTCATTACTTTATTTTTGCGGTAGCTATACTAAAAATGTGTAATTTTATTCAAATTATTTTCAATTTTTCACTTTAAAAAGTATATTTCCTACTTATTCTTCTTTTATATTATTTTAATTATGCCATAACTTTAATTTATTTTTACAATATAATCCAAATATATATATAATTTATATATCACTTTTTGAAAGGTAAAATTATATATCACTTTAAAAAAATAGAATTATACATTATTTTTAAAAAAATAAAATTACACAATGTACTTTAAAAAATAACAAAAATACCACAAAACATCACACAAACTCTACTCAGAAAATGGAGTGAATTGAAAAAATAAGGAAAATTTGGAAGTGGGTTAAAGCCCCTCCCACACAACTGGGTTAGAGCTGCTCTTACTATTATTATTTTTCTGGAATTGTATTTTCTATACCAAACTTAACTTTATAGATGTTAGTATCCTTTGTTTTCTTTTTTTGGTTAGTGGGATTAAATGTGAAATATATATATTTTGTGAAAACATACGGGTCTGACTATGATTTTTTTTGTTTTTAAAAAAAATATATTTATTGTATACATAAAAATAAAAACGAAAACAATATATAAGGAAATAATTATTATTTTGCCTGAAACTTTAAAAGGACGGCCTGCATGCATGCATGTTGCCCAGAGTTGCCTCTCGGGTGTCCATTATCCATATATTATACATATCCTTTTCATACACTAATTCTCAGAACTAAAAATATAAAGAGGAAAATACACCCCCGTCATTTAATTAATTAATTAATTTCATAATATGTAGGGAGTATCAAACATCTTATCATCCTCCATTCAAATTACGAATATATACATATATATATATATATATCTAATAGGGTTAGTTGACGAAGAACACACTATTAATTTTTTTATATTTTAGGAAAGGGAAATTTTAGAATCACCGACAGATTATTTAAGGAGCTAGGGTGGAAATTTATAAAACTGACTCACATGCCGCTGCTTTCTTATTGTCCCCGAATAATAATAATAATAATAATAATAATAATAATAATAATAATAATAATAAAATAATAATAATAATCATAATAATTCATAGAATAATAAATTAGAATGGCATGTCATTACATTACGTACTACTCTCTTCCGTACATCTCATGAGGAAAATGAACAAATTAAATTAAACGCGTAGAAATTTATTAATTAATTATCTTTTTTTTTTTTTTCATCACCGCCACACAAACACAAACGCGTACATATACTATTATTAATTATTTACATATATTCATTCTGCAAAAAAGTTTCTATAAATGTCACGTACGTAGGATGTGGTCTGGCCTCAGTAGTTAACTTACGTAATTACATGCATAAACATAACATGGCTGCAGCTAGATTACTATCAAGGGTTCTGCTCTTTGGGATATTTGTGGATAGTTTGGTGAGGGCCCACAGGGTGACGTGGATCCACGCTCGTGCCACTTTCTATGGTGGTGGGCCCACCCTTGGTAATTAATTAATTATATTTATGGCAGGTAATTAATTAATTGAATTGTGTACCAATGTCGTGGTGGTCCGGTCAGGTGGAGCTTGCGGGTACGAGAATACGTACGCCGCCGGGTTCGGGCAGAACACGGCGGCGGTGAGCGGCGCGTTGTTCAGAAACGGGGAGGCGTGCGGCGCCTGCTACCTTGTTGCGTGCGACAGGAAGCTCGACCCCCAGTGGTGCCTCCCGCCACGCGCCGCCTCCGTGACGGTGACCGCCACGAACTTCTGCCCGGCGAACCACCGCGGCGGGTGGTGCGACCCCCCCAACCACCACTTCGACATGTCGACGCCGGCCTTCCTCCAAATTGCTCGCCCCGGCCCCGAAGGCATCGTCCCTGTACTCTACACAAGGTCAGTAATTAATAATCAAATATTTTGAAATTAAAATTTGAATATATAATTATTAATTAATTGAATTTAGAGTGACGTGTCGGAGAAGAGGGGGAGTGAGGTTCACGCTCAAGGGGCAGGCCAACTTCAACATGGTGATGATCTCAAACGTCGGGGGGAGTGGTGAGGTCAGGTCGGCGTGGGTTCGGTCCGGCTCGGGGGCCTGGGCCCCCATGAGCCGAAATTGGGGGGCCAATTGGCAGATCACGGGCGGCGTGGAGGTCCACAGCAAAACGCTGTCGTTTAGGGTGAGTCTGGCGGGCGGCAGCACCCTCGACTTCCTCCACGTTGTCCCTTCTTCATGGAACTTTGGACAGACTTTTGCCTCCTCTAATCAGTTCTCTTAATTATTATTATTATTATTATTATATTTATTAATTTATATGATCCAGCACTTTTTGCAATGGTTCATGAATGGGTTGCGATTTCTTATTGTATATTTCCTTATACAAGTGATTGTTATGATTTCCACCAATTTGTATGGTTAGTTGTTGATGTAATGTTTCGACAATTGGGTAAATATATCTATGAGTTTGTTTAGATAAGGATTTTTGAAAATTTTTGAAAATTTGAAAATTTGAAAAAACTAAAAAATTAACATTTAATTTAATATTTTGTAAAAGAAAAAATATATATTTTTTTTAAAAAAATAAATAGCACCAAAAGTGTATTGTTTAAGCAGTGTGTATATTCATTGGGTTTGGGCCGTGATTTGTTTTGAGGAATGCTATATTTAAATTTAAAGCTTTTACATTTTAAATAAAAAAGATATATAATTATAAGTGAGATTACAGCTGGTTAACGTGATTGACATTTATGCTATAGAAAAAGTAACACGTTTTTTCAAAATATATGCGTCTCTCTAATGTGCGAGTTTAAGAGTCGCTACAGCAACAATTCAGTATATATGTCGCGCTACTCGCTTGGAACCCTTCTGCACTTTTCACCCGGCATCGGAGATGGCCAAGGATCGGAACGGAGGAGAGCACGACAACGGTGCGAAGCGTCATCGGAGTAAATCCAAATCAGAATTAGAGCCTGACCCCGATTCGAATTCCGACGCCGACGAGGAGGAGGAGGAGAAGGAATCCCGCAGAAAAAGAAGCAAGCACAAGAAGAGCAAAAGCCCTAGGAGGAGACGCTCGAGCGAAAGGGACTCTGACTCGTTGTCGTCTGAATCTGAGTCTGATGACGGCTCTTCCGATTCGGAGTATTCTGAGGACTCGGATTCGGAGGAGGAGAGGCGGCGGCGGAGGAAAGAGCGGAAGAGGAGAGAGGAGAAGAGGGAAAAACGAAGGAGGGAGAAGGAGAAGGACAAGAAGAGGAAACGAAAAGAAGAGAAGAAGAGGAGAAAAAGGAAGGACAAGAAGAAAGAGACTGAGAAGGGGAAGACAGGCGCCGTCACCAATTCGTGGGGGAAGTACGGGATTATCAGAGAAACCGATATGTGGTGCGTCTTTCAATTTATGCCAAAAATGGTTGCAACTATAAATTGGTGGTTTCTGCAGCTTGATTTCTTTCCCACAACAGGCAATGTTAGGATTTTTACATGATTTCGAATGACCTTACACTCCTATGTTTCCTGCTTTAATGTGGGCATTGTTCTCAGATCTTCGGGCAATAATTTGACTAACTATGAAGATTAGTACACGTAGCGAGGTTGTTCTTGTTTGATGTTTGTATCAAATTAAGTTGCTTTATGCAGTGGGCTAGTTGCTTATGTCAATACAATATCGAATTTTAAGTAGTAATTTCAGCAGAAGCTGGTTCCTTGATGCCGATATAACAGTGGGAAGTATTGTGATTTTTAACTATGGATAGAGTAGTCAGAGTTTCGTATGAGTTTGGGAGGCTTAGCAACTGTTTCTGTGTTGGCATTGTAATGCCCCTACTTGGTTTGGGTATCTGTCGAACAAATATATCCGTTTCTCCTCCGGTAGGCCTTTCTACTTGTTTAGCGTTCTTCCCTGTAAATTATTTAGATGTTGCCACCATCTCGTCTCGTTGATCTGTATCTTTCATAGCATTTGGTCCTATTTCAGAACTTCGCAATGATCTTTGGTCGAAGATTGAAAAATGATATGCTTTGTGCTTTGGTTTTTGGATTTACTGCCCCAACCCAAACTAATGATTCTCTCTACCATGGCCCAAGGATTTTTTTGATCATATGGTTAGAAGGGCACGCATTTTTGGCATGTAGATTTTGGTCGCCCGGAGTCTTATATGCTGGGTATTGGCTTCGGGGTTTTGTCCCCTAGGGATAATAGTTCTCATCTTAACAAAGGCATTAGATTGTGTACTTGCATGGTACTTTCACTTTTCTATTAGGTTTCATCTTGTGTTTATTATGTCCAGAGGGCCTTGTTCTGGGATGATGTTGTTATTTCTGATTTATTTATTCTGTTTATATTAGTTCATCTTCTAGATGAGAAGTCTGATTGTTATGGTTTCAAGTCGGTATAGGATTATTGTGTTATATGATTTTAGGTTTTTATAGAGCTGCCATTCCAAAAAAATAGTAAGGTGCTTTCTGCAGATCCAGGCTACTATTCGTGGTCCAGCGCATATGCGAATCGATTTCATTTAGTACACCACCAGTGCTCAACGAAATCAATTTAATCCAACACTTTAGGTGCTTTGAGTAGGGAAAGTTGAGGTGATGTTTTCGTGAAAATCAAATTTAGCCACGATCATGATACTAAAGTTCAATGGAATATATCTTTATGTAGTTATATCTCTGCAGGGGAAATGTAGTGGACTTGTTTCTCTGTGGAATCGTTTCAATCACTGCTGTGATCTGAATTAGTGCTTTTGTCATCTTTTTAACTATCTTGGCTTTATGCAGGAACAAACGGCCTGAGTTTACTGCATGGCTAGCAGAAGTGAAACAGGTATATTATTTTGATGAACTTGGTTGAGTTTGTGCATTTTAATTTAGCACATTTTCTTTTTACGTAAACTTGGATTTCTATTAAAATTTAAAACAAATGTTTTTATGCATCCATCTTACTCTTTTTTTGAGAGTGTGGGGGTGGCCAATATGTATCATTCACAAGGAGAGTTTTAAGAATCCAACTAATGATTGAAATATTCGATTTGCAGGTCAACCTGGAAAGTCTCCCTAATTGGGAAGAGAAGCAACTGTTCAAAGAGTAATTAACTATATAAGACTCTTCTAATTGATATCAGTTAAATTACAATGCCTGGAAATTTGGTCCATAATTCAATATTAAGATGCTCTGTTGGTTGTGAAATGCAGCTTCATGGAAGATCATAACACAGCCACTTTTCCATCTAAAAAGTTAGTCCTCTGTCTTATGCTGATTATATTCGGTGTCGATTAAATTCACAGACAGATACACAGTAATTTGCCCAAACTTTGAAGAGTGTTCATTGAAACTGGATGGGGAGAGAGTCTTGTTTCTAACAAATATGTTTATTTTTGCGGTTGCAGGTATTACAATCTGGATGCTTATTACCAGCGTAAAATGGAGAAGGAAATGAAGAAGGGAGTTACTAAAGTTGCGCAGTCAGAACGAACTGTATTTAATGATGAAGAACAGAGAAGGTAACTATGCCTTGCCAATGAATTTTACATTTTTCCTGTTACCAACCCATTCATTTTGGAATACCATCCTTTCTTGGACGAAAGGCATCTATTGTCGGATTCTATATCTCCCACTATTTCAGGGCTGTTAGAATTTGCATGGTAGAAACAACATAAGACCTTGTTAAGTGATTGTTACAATTTATTCGTAGATATGTGTAATGTCTAGTGGAATTTTGAGAATCTAATCCTCCAGATCACGCACTTTGTAGCTTAAAAAAATTGATCCTAAGGTATGGATAAAGACGAGGCTGATAATGATTTAGAGTGAAAGCTAGGAGACCCATCTTTCCATGTGAAAATTTTGAAGGAATTGCTTCAAGAACTGATCTTTGTTGTATGCATCCATTTTACAGGCAAGAACTGCTTCAAGAACGTGAACGACAAAAGGCACATCAGGTGGAGGAATTGAAGCGATCGATGCAGAGTGGAATGGTAGCCGTGCAAACAGAAACTCCTTTTTCTTCTTACTATTATTGATTTGTTCTGTTTTATTGTGAGTTAATTTGTTGTGGTTTTGGCAGGCTCAAGCTATGAAAGAGCAAGCTCAACTCCGGGAAGAGATGGCTTACCAATACAAGCTCGGTAACTTTGAGGTGAGAGTATAGATAAAAGTATATATATATATGTATATATATGGTTGTGGACTCATTGCCATTGCCATTGCCATTGCCGTCTTGGCGCTAACCATCAAGTGTTGTTGTAATGGTGTCGGGCAGGCCGCTGCGGCTATTCAACGAAGGCTGGATCCAGATGTGGCCATGTAAGAAGAGTTCCTTCCGTGTTGGTTGGGCGAGGAACACAGACAATGACTAGAGGAGGTTAAGTAGTTGAGAAAATTTGGGCGGCAAGATTATCATTACATTTACATATTACTACATACTGTTGTTACTACAGATAGCAGTGTTGTCTCACTTCTACGTTCCCCTAGAAAGTACAAACAAGACAAGAAGAAACGGCATCCTCTCATACTCTTCTTATCCATTCCAGATCCACTCTCCACACGCGCACACACACACACACATATATATATATAGAGAGAGAAAGAGAGTCAAGAGAGAGATAAGAGAAATAACGGAAAACACAGAGAAATTTGGGACGGTAGGAATAACGCTTCCCAATGAACCTTTACAGGTTGATGTTGATGACACCAAATGGAGTATATGTAAGTGGAATTTCGTGCCAGAAATGTGAATTTATATATCAAACTGTACCACGCTAACAACATAATTGCACTACTACGATTTATGCGATCTTGGATCGAATTTAGTAATTTACAAATTAAATCTGACAAAATAAATTACATTAGATAAATGTATAGCAAACAAAATTCGAAAGTCGGGTAAATCATTAATCATTCTTCTCTAATTGATAAGATTTACTAAGTTTAATATAATCCATATGCATTCAATTTATACTATTTGATAAAATATTAGTAATAACAAAAGTGGGTCCCCCCTTAAAACTTACACAGCTCATTGACATATTGATGGGATAGGAGAGAGCCATTAACAAAGTGGCCGCTTTTATTCTGTTGATGACTTTTGACTTAAGAAAATTATCTTTTAAAATATTTAAAAAGGGGCAGTATAATCAAACAATTTATGCATATGTGCTTGTTCTATACAAAAAAGTAGAATTGCTACAAACACATCTACATTTTCATGTTAGTAATGTGATTAATTATTTTGAATGAAAAAAAAATTGATTGTTTGTTTTATATTTTAATAAAATAGTTACTAAATATGATATTTTATATAAAAATTGAAAGTAATGGAATTAAAAGGAGATTAGTTCGTTAAATGAAGTGAAGGAGGCAAAGAGACTAGAGTTACAAGAATATTAAAGAAAACTTTGTAGGGGGAATTAAGAGATATCTTTATTATTATTTTCACTTTTTACTCTTTATCTCATTTTTTGCAATTTTTTTTATTTATTTAGGATTTTATACTTTATATTCCAGGTTTATTTTTCACTCTTTTATTTATATATATATATGTGTGTAATTTTCAACAATAATATATAGTAGTTTAGAGTTTTTCTCACATTCAGGTTAATTCTTCTGTATTGGTCATTTTATACATGATACTTGGAGCTTTTTCGTTATATATATATATATATATATATATAAGAAACACTAATCTCTCAATCTTTTAAGAAAATGTTTAATTTTGTTTTTTGTTTGTCTTTAAGTATATTCTTATTTTATTTTTTGTAGTAAAAAAATATTATTATAATCATATTTTTTACTATAAAAAGGTAAAAAGTATCAAAAAAATTTCAATCAAAATTCTACACATTGAAACTAGTGCAAAAAAATTTTAAGCATTTTTTTGTAAGACGAAGGGATGCATTACAATATTCTTTTATTCTAACAAAATATCACACAAAATATTTAATTTTAATTTTTTTCGAAATTTCAATATTTAATCAAGAGACTTGTTAGAGTTTTTAAAATTAAAAAATTGAAAAATTGAAAATGGTTGTACTTGTTTGGATGATATTTTATATATAAAAAATATATATTTAATATGATAGTTTGTTTTTTTCCAAAAAAAAAATTTAAATGGTGTAAAGAATTCCAAAAGTAATTGTAAACAAAAGTCCAATTCTTCCACAACTTTTACTTATACAGAGTCCTAATCATTTAAAAAATCAGCATTTGAATTTGATCCACCCATGTTTACTATAATTAATTTAACATAATTACCATAAAACATATGTATACATTCTATATTTTTCTAAATAAAACAAATTTCCTAAATATAGTCATTACATTATTTACTTTCCACATTTTGGTTTATTTCACATATCCACAAAGCCGCCGGTCCATTTGTCCAATCAGTATATATATATATACAAAAATAATAAATACTAAAATTATAAAAATAAAGTGAAAGTGGGCCCCGCCACCTGGAGTATTGGATTCCTGAAATTATTCAGACATACGTATTAAACGGTCCTTTGTTTGTACTAAATAAAGCTGCTTTAGGTAAATATTATTTTTATTACAAGATTTTAAATATTAATTAAATATTCGATATACCCCATAAACCCTTCCCTGTTTTTCTTCTTCTTTTTTTGTCCATTCCTCTCTGCCTTTTCCCACTTGCCTTTGCCTCTCTCGATCTTAATTTTTATTTCATTCTTCCTTCCGCACACCCACATTTGCTGTCTCTATCTCTGCTGCCACTGTCTGTCTGTCCGTCTGTCTCTCGAGGAAGATGAGCGAAGGGCCGTTGAGGCCAGTGCTGGGGAGGTACCCCTCGTCCGACGGTGCAGACGGCGGGACGACGAAGGGGGGAATCAATGATGTCATAAAGCACAACAGGAAGTGTCGGGATGTAGTGTTCCTCGTACTGTTTGTGGCCTTCTGGGTTGCAATGATTGTCAATTCCAGCTTCGGTTTCAACCGGGGAGACCCGTTGAGGTGAGTTAATTGAAAACTCTGCTTGCATTTTTATTTATTTGTTTCTAATTTGATTTGTGTAAGAGATGTGTCAGTTCTGCGATTTTTGTGGTCTCTCGATCTGTTTCCGAGTGCTCATTGTTGAATTGTCGAAATTTAGGTTGTAGACATACATGGCTTCCCCAATTTTGTGTGAATTAGGTTGTCGTGTTTGGACAGGCGCAGCAATTTAGGGAATGAGGAATGTGGGAGATTTTTATGTCTGGATTAGGGCAGGATTCTTCCTGGATTGTCTGAATTATTGCTTATTTGCTATGTATCGATTGAACTCTGATTCTGTAGCTGTTAATTTGCTTGTTTATACATACATACATACATATATAAATATATATATATCGATGTATTGCAGACTAACCTACAGTCTAGACTACAAAGGCAATGTCTGCGGCGACAAGCACGCCAATCCCGATCTCCGACAATTGCAGCTAAGATATTTCATGAACCCTAACGAGGTTTACCAAACAGGCGTGAAGGACACCAAATTCCATCTCTCCAGTGCCCGAAGTATTTGCTTAATGAGCTGTCCTGTCCCTTCTGAGGAGGACTCACTGAATTGGGTCTGCGATTATCCCGATGGCGAAGTTCGTCTCAAGATCGGCGAATGGATCGATCGAAATTACAATTATTTTGCAGACCTTACACCTGAGCTCAGGAACACTTCTCTTCAGCTTCAGGGTCCTTGCTATCCTGTAATATTTCCCAGTGTCAATGGTAAGTTATTGTAAGAATTAAATATCTCAAAAGCCGTATTGTTTAAACGAGAGTCATCGCTGATTCAACCTACTGTTTGTCAGTTTATTGGACCTGTCAGTTAATTGCGCGTGCATCGAATGTATCTATGAAGCATTGGGAGGTGACGGGCGGAGTTAAAGTCGTGGAGGATATTTCGATCGATAAATCTATCCACAAATCGATTAACTCCCGATCGTCGGTTCTTAAGGTTAGATAAATCATAAGGGTTTGTTTAGTTGTGTTTTGGAAGTTTCTCGGATTGTTTTGAAAATAATAAAAAATTTGAATGATAAATTGGCGTTGGATATGTTTTTATGCATACAAACAGCATTCGAATTCGGATGTGGAATGTTGTGAATATAGTAGAATACTCTGTAATTTGAGGTTTGAATATTTCGAGTCGATTTCTGTTTGGCCGCAGAGATATGTGGCTGATGTGGGAAAGTCTTGGCCTGTACTGCTTGTTTGTGGAGGATTTTTGCCGCTATTTTTGTCACTTTTATGGCTTTTGATGATCCGTTATTTTGTTTCGGGAATGCCATGGATTACCGTTGTTGTTTTCAATCTTCTCATGGTATCCGTGACCATGTTTTATTATTTGAAAGGTTAGCGCATTTCTTTATACGCTTCTTTGTATACGTATTCGATCAACAGCTTTTGTATTTACGTAAATACTTTATCTTATCTTCAGCTGGATGGATTGGAGACGATGCTGTCACACCCATCATCGGCAAGCACGACCCGTATTATAGCGTTTCCGCGAGGGTAGGTTTTTCATATAACTAATCTCAAATTTTTCATTCTTGAGCCACGGCTTTATTGTTAATCATTAGATGATATGTGATATTTTGAATGTAAAATAAATTTGTAGTACAATATATAAAAAAAATAATTATTTGATTTGATGTTTTTTAAAAGAAAAGAAAATATGAATAGTAATAACCTTATGTAAAATCCACAAAAGAACACAGCCTGGTATATTCTTACGTGGATTTGCTCTTTGTTCAGGAGCTACATCATCTCCAAGTAGCAGCTGTTTCGATGACCGTTTTGACGATCGTTGCTTTCTTATCGTCGATTGCTATAGTCCGCCGAATCCTTAAAGCAACCTCAGTCCTCAAAGTAAAGCTCTTTGTATGATTTTTTTGTTTTCAATTACATTGTTCTAATTAGTTTTGGCTATTCTAGGTTGCTGCGAAAGTCATCGGAGAAGTCCGAGCATTGATCATTTTTCCGGTGATACCATATGCCATTCTTGCTATATTTTACATGTTTTGGTTATCCGCCGCGCTCCATCTTTTTAGTTCCGGGAGCGTCGTACGAAATGATTGTGATGCTAATTGCTGCGCGTACGATCTCAAAGCAATGAAACTGAACTGTGACAGTTGCTGCGGCTATAATGTTCGATACACGTCTCATATTGCTGCCGCGATCGTCTTTCACCTATTTGGTGCCTATTGGGCCACCCAATTTTTCATCGCATCCTCTTCGACGGTGATTGCCGGTTCTGTTGCTTCGTACTATTGGACGAGAGGCCAAGTATCGGTAAGACTATCGTAAATGAATTTTTATAGATTTTTCGGGTTTATTAGTATACAATGATCTCTTCATCTCATTATATTATGATGTTTTCGTAATTTTTTTAAAAAAATTTTCTCATTAGATGTTTCTTTTCGTTTGTGTTGATATGCCTTGAATCTAGTTTTTCACTTCGTTGAGTTTTCACTTTGGTGTATTCTCTTATTTTATTTCAATAGACTTAGAGATATGAAATCGTGAATATATTTGTTCTCCGTTTCTGCCTGTTTATGTGTTTTGTCTTTGTTATTCGATCATTAACTATAATTCGTCACAACATTTTGAAATGCAGCCGAAAATTCCCTTTCTTCCTGTTTTTGCCTCGATGAAGCGGCTTGCACGATACAGCCTCGGCTCGGTTGCTCTTGGCTCTCTAATAGTGTCATTCGTTGAGAGTATTCGATTTATACTCGAAGGACTTCGTCGTAGGCTTAAAAATGTCGATTCTATGCCCCAAAGCTGGATCGAAAAGGCGATGTATCGGACGTCTCAGGGTTGCCTGAAATGCATTGTATGCATCATCAAATCTGTTAACCGTAACGCCTATATTATGGTAAGTTTGTTCCGACATCGGGATCAATGGAATTTTCACATCCTTAATTCGTTTTGATGGCTTCTGTTTTTCCAGATTGCGATTACAGGAAAAGGCTTCTGTAGAGCTTCCGAGATTGCGACAGACTTGATCATGAGCAACATCCTTCGAATCGGAAAGGTGAATGTGATAGGCGATGCGATCCTCTTTCTCGGGAAGCTCTGTGTCAGCCTTACGAGCGAAATCTTCGCGTTCCTAATGTTGGATACGTACAAATATAAATCTTCACACAACAAGATATCATCCCCTCTGTTTCCCGCGCTGGTTCGCCGTTTAAACACTTAACCTTTTACAGTCTTCTCGATGATTTCTCCGGTTAAATTAAAATGTGCGCGCTAACTATTGTTGCATTTTTTGTTTACGTACAGGTCTGCTGGTGTTTTGGCTACATTGTCGCGACCCTCTTTTTCGGAGTGGTGGAGATGTCTGTCGACACGATAATCCTTTCCTTCTGCCAAGACTCGGACGAACACCAAGGCGCCGCGCAATATGCTCCGCCTCTGCTGCTGCAGACTTTTGACGACGATGATCAAAATGAGAAGCAGAGACTGATGCAATGAACCGAGCGCTTTCGACGCCTTCGTCGTCGGTTATCCGATCTATCTTAGCTTGAATATCAAGAATTTTGTGTACATTTGAGTATTTTTCCTTATGGATTCTCACTAGTTGTATGTATATATATAATCATATGCATTTCTTCCCTACATTTTTACTGCAAAAAATGTAGTTACCTTTTAGTGCAACTCGAGATTAGGGTAAATGTTACATTCGAAAAAGTCTTTAACTTTTACGATAGAAAGAACTATTCAGCCACTATAGTTCTCATGGTAACTTTATATAAGATGATAAAATATACTACCTCCTTATCGATTCAAATACTATTTTTATAATTTTTTGTTTGTTTCGTTTTAACGTATTCATTTCTTATTTTCATTATATATATATATAATTACTCTATACGACAACAAGAATATCTAAAATTCTTACACATTTTCATTAAATAATAAAATACTATTATTTTTAATCTACTACAAAAATGTCCAAAACAACCCTTTGATTTGGGATGGAAGAGTATAATTTATACAATAAATATTAATAATATATAATATAACACATTATATACTTCTATATATCACAATAATTTTAGCACAATAAGTCGATTATATAAGATAATGTTATTACTAATGCCAAGATCGAATAAGATATATTCTCTCGAAATAAAATCAATATCGAACAAAACTTAAAGAAAAACATCGATTTATTACAGAAGCAACGTTTCGGACTCAATTTACCATAATATCAAACCAACCGACCCGCCCAAAATTCAAGCTGTCTAGCTTTGAACCGGGTTGAACCGGTCTGTTCTGTTTCTTATATATATATATATATATATATACTGGATCGGTTCAGTCTCACACTTCACTCATTCATTCACAAGAACAGATCAGATCATGCAATATTTAGTAGCTTTGCTAATAGTTGAATTTAAGTATAATCCTGTTGGTAAATATACCATGTTTTGAAAAATTATGTTTGTATCTTGTGTGAAAATTGTATGTTTTGATACATTTGATTAACCGGTGGTATTTGTGTGTAGTTTTAGGTTTATTATATATCATAATAGGTTTTCATATTGTTTTAAATCTAACTTGATTTCAATTTTCTTTGTGCAGGAGAATAATTCTAACAATTGGTTAAAATGAACTTTTTAAAAATGAACTAAAGTATTAAGAAGCAATGAAAGTTCGGACTGTAATGACACCTGAAAAAACAATATTTCACGTCCAAAATAAAGTGGAGATTTGTTATATATTTTGGCCGGTGATTATTGAGGCCTTAACACGCACAAATAACATAATTAATACTATATAATTCACTCGATACATATTTATATATAACACAACATAGCAATAAAATGTTATTTTCAAATAAATATGCTAACTTAGTCAAATAAACCCAGAATTGACTTGACACCGTTAGCAGCCTAGTCGCCACTGTATATACTTTTGTATTGAATCCTTGTGACATCGAAGGCTTTAAGAATGTAAAAACTCATTAAAGAAAAAACATAAATAAGATAGAGATCCTCTGCTCTATCACAGTTTATTGCCAAAAAAAAACACAATTTGTGTGAAAGAATTGAAGTTCATTTCTGGGCAAAACTGAGCTTAGTAGGATCAATGTAGCTCACTTCGATGGATATTGTCCAACCATTTCCTTCTTCTGTCCATTGAATTCCTTCCTTCTCCAAAAGCTTAGTTATCTGCAGACACAAACCAATGAACATCTCGAAAATTCCGGAACAACCACAGTTCGGTTATACGTACCAGGCGCTTGCGCCGCTTATCATCCCTGTTGTCTGCATCGCCAGTCCCGACCACGACTTTGAAGTGGCTAATAGCTGAAGAATTTCAAGAGCATCAGATCGCTGTCGTGAACAAAATCCATAACCACAGCTCGAATTTGCTCAGACAGCGAAACTCACATGGTAAACCGGCGAAATTTTTAAAATTCAGCTTCACCATCTTCAGAGCCTCCTTTGGCTCTAGGTAATGCACGTTGAAGAAAAAAATTTCCTCGTCGCTGAAGGATATAAAACACGAGCATTAAGGTCATTATTCGACAAGTTTGTCAAAAACTCAAAGGTATTTTGAATGTATGTACAAAAAAGGATCCTAGACTGACCCTTCATTTATAAGTATTAGCGTCGATTTTTCATCTGCTTCTTGCGCTTTTTTCATGAAATACTTTCCCTGAACGCACATAACACAGCCATTTAGTCGGTTCACGCGTCGATGAAGTGTACAAACGATAGATACAGCGGCTTACCTGCTCCATAAGAAGTTCCGCATGTCTATAATTGTCTTTAATGAATTCATCCACAGCCTGTACAATGTAGATGCATAAAACGCTTACGAATCGAGCAAGAAGTAAGCGCGCAAAACATTAAGGCTATGACTTACAGCTTTGTAGCATCTCCTCATTTTTTTCCAATTCTCCTTCACAGCTTCGCGCAACTCCTCGTAGCTACTTTCGTTAGCTTCACCGCCTAATAGTAAACGACGTAAAAGGTATGTAACTAACAATGTTAACACATGGTAATTAAATTACGAAGAAATGCAACAACAAAGAGAAAAAAAAAACATTTACTTTTGTTACGGAGCGGTTGCGTCGTAATAAATGTAAAATCTTCGATGAATGACTCCTCGGGTGGCTTCGTCACAATCGTACCATACGGCGAGCTGCGCATCGACCTAAATGGAACAGTTGGCTCATTCTTTTCTTCGACTCTGTCGGGGACTCTGAAGATTGCATCTAGAATTTCGCTTCGGATGTTTTCATTCTCTTCCTGTGGCTCAGATAATACCAATTCTTCGTCGACAGCAGTATCTGCATTTTCCGAAGCTTTTCCAAGTACATCGTCACTCTTCTCTAGAGATTCTGCCGACAGATCAAGAAGTTTGTCGATGCTCTGCATTTTCCGAAGCACGACAAATGAGCCGAGCACAAAAAAATGCACAATAAATGAACAAAATAGACTTACCTTGGGAACATTATGCCCACATTTACCTGAAAAGAAAACATATGCACAACTCATAACTACAACATCGATTTAAGGACAAAGATGAATCGAAAGTGATCGAAAGCACTAAGTTTCATAATGAGTTTACCAAGAACATCCTGGATTACATTTGTATCGAGCTGAAATCCATCTCTGAGCAATCGAAGAACCAAATCCTCGGTGTCGCCATTCAAGGATTCGCCACTCGAAGATGATGCTAGTTCCTTTTCTTTCTCGTTCGATCCAACCGATTGCGATCTAGGAATAATGTAGTCCTTACCGATCGGATCACTTACATTTTCCATAGTTTTCGAACACATTTTTGCACGAGAATTACGAATTTGGGGATTCTTGGAAGGTTTATCTATGGCACTTTCCGAGGATAAGTTAGTCACATTTTCATTTTCATTCGAAGATTTCGATGAACTTCCGACGATACTCGGCAGAGTACTAATGATTTCTTTCGGACAGCATATGGTTTGGCAGGATTCAGGCAATTGGTTTATGTTTTCATCGTCTCCTTCGGCACATGAAGAGATTGAAGATTGCACGCTGTGGTTCATTCTACACATGAATAAGAAGCACAAAAAAGAACAAAGAAATGAAGTGTGTATTTAGGGAAAGAATTCGATCGATGATCAGAAATGGAAATAGAAACAACAGATGCATTTCCTAATCTTCATCCCAAATTAAAGAAAACAAAAATAAAATACTGACAGCATACGAAATAGCAATTCATCCAGAATGTGAATCGAAGGCCTACCTAACAAATGCAATTACTTTTCCTCAAACACAAGTACCAATCAAAACAGAGGAAATTTAAAGGGGAACGAAAGATGAACACGAAAGAAAAAACCAATTAATTCAATAAACTTAACAATACATCAAAATCGAACTCTAACATAGTTTGTCCAAGAAAAGACCATCAAACATTGAATTGAATCGTAAATGCCGAGGTCAGTCAGTGAGTCAGTCATCATCATCACCTATCAAACAAATTCGGAAACACAGCAGAAGGGTGCTCGAGTTCTTACCTGAAGCAAAAATGGCGTCGAGACAGATATGGAGAGTGATTTTAGTTTTACGAGTGTGGAGTGGAGTGTAGATTCAGAGCGAAGGAAGCCCGACCAAGAAAGGTTGCAGGAAGGAAGATGCTGGGAAGACGAAAGAAGTGAGAAGGTTATTTATTTATTTATTTATTAATTAATTAGTGTAAGAAAATGCGAGGAAGGAAGGGAAGGAAGGGACCTCTTTTGTGTTCGAATCTTTTTTTGTGGGCCCATCACATGCAAATTGAATGCATTGTTTATTATTTAGTCAAATTTTAGGACCACCATTTAACGAACTGCTGTAATATGTTTCGATATATATTACAGTCTCGGCTCGTCAAACTTAATATCATGCAAAGTAGATTTAACAACACAAGTTATATTAGACGAACTATATATGTGTGATAGATGCATGCCTATACATAGCACTGGGTATTCGATTTTGATGTTTTAATTTTATCCAATCATATGATATGATGTGCATTGAATATTTTCAAAAGCAAGAATTTGTTTAAATGATTGATCCACCGGTTGATCTTTGCATATTGTTTGTATCTTGTCTTGATTTAAGGTGCTCATAAATATATGAAAATAATTTACACAATGTAGAAAAATATTGTAATAGCTTATATTGTATAATACTCCCCATAAAATAGTATAAATAACATATGAAAATATAACAATAGATATGGTATAGTAAATTTATATTTAATATTCATTCCATCCAAATTTATATTATATGAAAATATACGTTACTTAAATTACCAACACATTATTATATATATAATTATTTTATACATTTAAAATATCAAGATTTTTCATAAATTTTTATTAACTAATATAATATAATTATTTATTAATTTATTATAAATTTCCAAAAGGTCTATTTGAATTGGAACGGAGAAATATATTTTATAGGATGTATTATTCTTTTATCGGCACAAAATCAGTACTGTAGCTGCCGCGATAGCATGTATAAGTTGAATTTCAATAACTAGTTTGTTTAATTTCATTAATACCCAAGCAAACATTAATTGATCATTAATACAAATTTTACATTGAAAAAATTGATTCGAAAATCTCAACTTGAGTCAATTATATGACCGAATTTATTACTTATAATAAGAGGTTAGATTACTTTCCAACTTTCATTTAAATAAGACCATTTTGGTGATTTTAATTATTAGCTCAAAAATATAAAGTATATACTTAAAAAATATATATATATAATTGAAACTCTCAATTTTAATCAATCATACAATTGAACTGAATAATTTTTAAGTAGGTAGACCAGACCACCTGCTGACCTTTGCAATATATTAATGTTTTTTTAGTAATTAAGTTCATTATTCAGATAATCCAATAATCTAAATTAAATAGATTCCCAGTGATTTGTGTGAAAGATACTTCAACTGACCATGTTAGATTCATTGGTTTTATTTGACAATACCGTGAATTTCAAAATTTTAAATTATTTCCCTTTCATATTTCGAAGATTCTTTATGTTGGAAGAAATTATTATTTTATTGAGAGAGATGATATGTTTGATGTGATAGTTTGAATTAAATGATATTTAAATATAATTGAAAAATATTTTTGAAATAGTTGAAATGAAAGTTTGATGTCACGTTTTAAAAAATATAAATATTTCATATAATATTTGTTTATGTTGTGTGTGTAAAAGTTGATTTGATAGATAATTTTAATAAAATATAGTATTTTGTATTATTAAATATAATAATATTTTATATTTATGATATAATGTTTTAAAAAATATAATATTTCTCGACAATTTTTGTGAGAAAAATAAAAACTACGGTTCAGCAAAGCCTGTAGGTTAGTAGGGTTAGGATTTTAACTTTGAAATTTGAACAGTATCTCTGTCTGTACAGTACGTTTTAATGCTTATGCTGAATTATTTTTCAAATCAGCATTTGATCCCGATAAAAATCAAAGCAATAAAAAGAGGAAAGCACTATAAATGATCATGGAGAATTCGGCCAAACATAGACACAAAATCAGTCTGTCAACCAAGTTGGTGTGTGTGAAATTTTTGTTTCTATTTTGCCATATAAAACAAAATGCATTGAGGTTCTCAAAACAGAAAAGATAATCAAAGCAACAAAATGTAAAAAGATAAAATAAAAAATATAAAATTAGTATTTAATTTAATATATTATTAGAAAAAAAAAATATTTAATATAATATTTTTTAAAAAATAAATACTATCAAATAACTAAAAGTTGGTTGGATAACCGAAGCCTCAACATGTGAGCCAAAGTTGGTCTATGTGAATTTTGATGAGTTGTTTTTAGAGTGATAAATTATTAAGTATTCTTTTGAAGTTATTCATCCTTGTCTACTTCCTCCTTCTCATGTAATATGGATGTATTACTGTAGACACGAAAATTTAGATAAAGTATAATTAGTAAGTTTTTAAGAAGTGTATAAGTAAAAATAATTATAGATTAAGATAAGTAAATAATTTAATCAAAATTAAAAAAATTATAAAATTTAAAATTTAAAATGCGATTAAAGTGCATAATTATATTTTCAAAAATAGAAAGGACAAGTTATGTGAGACGAACGAAAATAGAAAATAGGGACAAATTATGTGGGACGGAGGAAGTACTATATAATGCATCGTTGATTCACGTATTTTATTTATATTATATTATATTCACTGTAGCTGCTGAATTTTAAATTCAGCAGTGCAAGTGCATGTTACGACTGTAATTGAACAGTGGAATTTGTTGAATTTGATTGGAATTCTTTAGTACAATTTGATAGTTAAAAGTTAGAATTTAAAATATAGTGTCAGTGCAATTTGTTCTAATAAATTATTAGTGCAATTTTGGTTAATTTTTTAAAAAATTATTCAATCATCTTAATTCTATGTAAAATATAGTATTTGTATTTAAAAAAAAAAACATCTAAATTGTTATTTCAATAATAATAATAATAGCACACCCTATATTGTGTTTCTAGAGAACTTTGTAGTGTAGAGTTATAACTATACATTTTTTTCAAAAGATTAGATAAGAGTTTTAGAAGATTTTATGTTTTTTTTTTATAAGAGTTTTAAAAGTTTTTGAGATTTTTTAGAATTTAAGAAAAATGATTATTAAATGTGATGTAAATAAGTTTTTTTTTTAATATTAAATTTTGTATGAAAAATACATTTTTTAATATAATATATTAAATAAATATTTGATTTAACATTTTCAGAAAAAATATGTCAATAAGTTCAAAGGTAGTATGTAAACAAAATTTAAAATATTCAATCCGGCATGAATATCCTTCTAATTACACATGTCAACCCTCCACAAAAAAATAAAAAATAAAATATCAAATCAAATATGTTTATATTTTTATTTTACATTGTATTAAAAATAAATTGTATATTCAAAATATTATATCAATATATAATTACATCACATTATAAATGTTTAAGCAAAAACTAAAAATACTTCATTATATGTTGGATAATGAATGTTTTTGTATCTATTCATAAAATTCTCAGTTACTTTTAGTATAAAATTAAATAAATTTTAGTATATTTTAAATAATACTCCATCCGTTCCCAGATACCATGTCCACGTTGCCGTTTATGTTCGTCCCACATACCATGTCACTTTTTTTAAAAAAATTATTACACACTTTAATCTCATTTTAAATTTTTTAATTTTAATTAAACTAATTAGTTATCTTAATCTTAATTTATAATTATTTATATTATAAAATAATTATTTTCACTAATACATTTTTAATTATCTATTAATTACACTCTTTCTAAAATACGGTGTCTACAGTGTAGCAGACACGATATTTGAAACGGAGGGAGTAGTTGGTGAGTACCTTTTTGTATGATAAAACTATTTTGCCCATTGTGTATAAATTAATATAATAATTTTGAGGAAATAAATGTACATATAAGATTATTTGTAACATGCAGATGGCAAAATGAAAATCTTTTGAGCTGACGGAGTCATAAAAAAATAATAATAATAAATTTGGAAAAAAATAAAAATAAAAATAAAAATAAAATACCCTTCGTTACTTTTCCTTGTAAATGGTTAATGAAGACATTTACCAGAAATAAAATTTTTACAAATAATTTATAAAGAACTCGAATTTCATATCTCAAATAATTTTTTAAAAAATCCACACTCACGTCATCAGATCACATTATATTGTCTGATCATCTCTTTCAACTAATAAAAATATGTCCTATGTTTGTCTGGTAAGAGATGATACGGTGGTGTAGGAATTGGATTGTGACCGTTGAATTATTCGACTATTTGATTCTAAATTCAATTTGAATTAAAAATAATAATAATAACAATATCATTCAACTATTTGATTCAATATTAATTCATTTTGTCCTGATTCGAAATTTTGTAATTAAAATATGTTCTTTCCTCTACCAAATATAAAATATCATTGTATAACATGTTTAATTAATTATATTATACATATGTAGTTATATAAAATTTTAAAAGTCATATTATAAATAAATTTAATTTGAAAAAAAAATATATGCATAATATATTTTATATTACATATTACCCGTCATTTAAATTTGTTCATATTCTCTTTGTAAAAAATACAAAAAAAAAAAAAACGTCATTGAAATTTGTTCATATTCTCTTTGTAAAAAATACAAAAAAAAAAAAAAAAAAAAAAAAAAGAGATATTAGGAGGAAAGAGAAATTATATTATATTATTGAATCCAATATTTATTAATATTGATTTGAATATTAAAATTTTATATTTTATATTGGATTAATATTCAATATTTATATTTGAATTTGAATTATAAAATTTTAAATCGAATATCAAATCGTAGGTGTAGGGTGTGGGACAAAAATTCTTAGAGAGATGATCATGATCCCCTGATGTTCGCGTAGAAGCTGGAAGTGCTTCTCGTCTCCCCCGAACTGAATTCCCATTCATCATCGTATCATTTCATGTCCTGTCCTCTATAAATGACGAGGGAGTCTTCTTCCCCAATCTCCCTGCAACCATTAATAACTAACTGTAATTACCAAACCAGCATCCATCAATGGCGGATCCCATCAAATTGGTGCTGCTCTTGGCTGCTTCCCTGTGCTTCTCCAGCGCCAACAGGATCTTAACCGACCACCACACCTCACCCCCCCACGCCATTTCTACAACTCACGAAGAACCCAACCCCCAGACCCAAACCTGGACCCAGCAGCCCTGCTGGCCTGCTTGCGGCGGCAGCGGCGGCGGCGAATGCCCTTCATACGGCGGCCATTGTATTCCAATTCAGCTGCCTCAGCAATGCGGCGGCTCTATCTGCATTCCTATGCTCGTGCCGCCGCCACAATGCAGCGGCGGCGGCTGTGAAGGGAATCCTCCATGTAACGGCAATTGCGTTCCGCCGCCGCCACCGACATGCCCGATTACCTGCCCCCCGAACTACGGCGAAGGACAGCAGCCTGCCGTGTTGGTGATGGCGATCTATTGGCCGCCGCACGGAGTCGGCGGCGGATCGACGGATAACATCAAAGGAGACGATGATGGAATCCATGGAGGACCTGGTCAAGCAATGGCTCCTGAGCAACATGGCCATGGAAAGTGATGGAAGAAGAAGTATTTGATCACGTGCAGAATAAAAATATGTAATAAGTGCCATAACTCTGTTCTTTTGTAATGCTGCTGCATCTACAGAAATATTCTGAATCAATAAGAACAATGTTGAAGATCCTTTGATGGCTGCTTTGCTAGTTGCAACTATATCTTGTATAACAACAAACCTGTATTTAGCGTTACCCGATTTCCTACCGCGGCATCGACGACGATCTCTGCGACAATTCTGGCAGGATTCGATTCGAAAACGGAGGGGAAATCGAAGCCGAGGGGCGAAGGAGAGGCGTCCCGCCGCCTGCCGGTGGATGACTTCCGATCACGATCGTCGGGGGTTGCAGCTCGATCTCGGTATCGAATTTAGGACCAAATCCGGGGCTGTCAAGCAACTGATTATCGTCGTACTCTTCAACCGATACAACCGTGCTTGTGTCTGTAAGAACAGTCGAATCATCGCCTCCCATTTTCCTCCTCCGCCGAGCTTCCTTTCCCCATCCGTGGATCGTGTCGCGGATTCGCTGTGGTATTAAGGCAGCCTTGTAGTTTGTCCCCATCTATGAAAACGAAAAAAAAAAAACGGATACCCGATAAAATCAGGAATCTTTAACTCAACCCATTTGCGATATTGTTCCTCGGCATATCGTACCTGAGTGACGAGTGCATAGAGTGGCAGGGTGCTGTAGCTGCATAAAAATTGTCCGACAAACCTGGAAAACAAAAAACAACAGCATCAGGTTAAATTGATTCGTCGACAATCGACAACAAAACTCAACGCGCATGCATACGTCGCATACCCCATGATCAGTCGCAAGTAAACGAGGAAATGGTTCTTTATGAAGCATGAGCTATAACCAAATTGCCACTGAAATCGGACACATGTAATCTAATCAAGAAGAAGTTCCAAGAATAACACAAACAATAATGTTAATAATCGTAGGGGGAATTTACCCAGAACCAAAAGAACGAAGCAAGCTCGAATGCATTCTGCAGGCAAAAATACAGAAAAATTAGTGTCATAAAGCTAAAATAGTCAGTTCAGTGTTGAAATTTTGAAATCGAGCAACCTGAAAAAGAATGAAGTGAATCAAGGACAGCAACAGTTCTGGTTTATTGAACCAAAATAACTCGTCGCGGGGCTTAAACTTCGGCCTGGAAGAACTCCCGTTCATTCCAACACTCTCCAGTGCCAAGGTTGCGATCACATGCTGGAGTTTTGTACCCACGAATAACACGAGCTGTGAATAAAGACCGGATGAATATTATGTAAAGAACGCATTTTTCGATTTTAAATGAAAAATATGATCCAACAATTACCTAACCAAAAGCATATCAAAGTAACATACAGTATACTTTTACTTTAAGCATTTGCAAATGGACACTATGGAAGTATGTTATATCATTGTAAGCTACCTATCACTCCCATTTAATCGATTTGCATCAATAATATTCCATTTTTTTCATAGATAATTATGAAACAGCAGCAAAGATCATGTTTTACATTTATCTGCAGATCATTTTCTTTGGAAACCACTCATCGAAGAATAAAGTGGTGGTAAACATCGATTTAAAAAAAAACTTACGGTGATAGGGATTAGTGCAATCCAAAAATAGAGATTAGACCCTGCAAATTTCAAAAGTCAAGAAACCAGAATTTAGCCAGACTGTTATGCTTTGCTCGATGGTAAAAATGCAATAGTTTAAAACGATCAGACTTGCCAAGAAAATTCATATTACCTTTCACATTGAACAGCATAAAAGTTACAACAAATCCCCAGAGTGGAGCACTGTTAAAATTGAAGGAAGAAGAATGTCAGAAACCTAAAAAGGTTTAGGCTAGAACTAAAATTTTTTTATGTCCAGTAGAATATATGTGAACAAACAATGAATTTAGGATTGATGAAGTTTAAGACTGTTTTCCAATTCAATTAGCATCAATGGACGTGAGTTTGCAAACCATAGAACAAACCATTGGCATTCAATCAATGCATAATAATTGCCTTATAATCGCGACATGAATGAGAGTTAAGCTGCATTAATCGGAACATGAAAAATGGCCGAGCCTAGTTTAGATTACCTAACACCAACAATCCGTTGAAATTCTTCTTCCATTGAGCGAACCATATAGCTGTGAAAATCATATTTTGGTGTAAGGTTGTGGTTCTGCCATAAATAAGAAAATCAAAATGTGAACAGAGATTTGATGTACACAGATTCTTGCTGTGAAGAAGCAAAACATGTCACCAATGGTAAATATAACCAAACCACAGTCCACAACAAAACAGACCAGTTTAGTCTGATCCACTACCACTATTACAGTAATCGGATATGCCTTTGGAGGTTCATCTACATGTATAAACAATCTCAAAAAGATCCTTATAAGATAATTATCTAAATCCAATAACAATCATGGTACTTATTGATGACTGATGTTGTTGTACAGACAATTAGCAATGTCATAAAAATTTATGTTCTACGGACAATACATAAAACACAGTCGCATAGAAAATGCTAAGGATATTTTTCAATATCATTTGTCTCCTAACCTACATGAAAACCTTCTTCGTCCAAGATCCTTCTCATATGAATTTATAAAGTGTATGACACTGAATAATCAAATTGATGAATCTGTTATAGGACATTTAAATTTTCTTCATAATCTGACATTTTACATACTATTGTTTTGAAAATACGATTGAAATTTCACCATATTAGTGGAAATTTGTGTATCAATTGATTTTAATTTTTTTAACGTATACATGTATAGGTAAGCTGTTAGAGGTTAGCAAAGATGGAAATCCAACAACCTATTCATGCCTTACAAAATTCAAGATTTGTACAATTTGCACTCCAAAAAATTGTCGTATAAATGCAATGCTAAACAACTTGCTTAGACATTAACATACCGCTATGAATCCTTGACGGAGTGTAAGATAATCTGCCCGGACTACTGAACGACCAAACTGTCGGAAGAAACAAGTCTGGATATTCCAAACATAGTATCAGTAAGAAAGAAACTTGCATTGTGTGTGGATTTAAAGGGAAATGAAAGCATAACTAGGATTATAAAAGCAGTTTAATACAAGCATTCAGAATTGCTACACATTTTTATAATGTGCAAATAGAAACTGATGAAATTTTTTTAAAAATATGATAGGTAAAGGAAGAGAACATACCACCCAAATAAGAAATTTGTTCTTGTCCATAGGATTCGAACTCTGGACTCTGACAAATGACGATTGTCTTCGCATTGTCAGGGCTCGGGTGATTTCTACAAGAGGAACAATGCTAAAGCAGATTAGCTCAACCCCAACTTCATTGCACACTATACAGAGCTTACAGTAGCTATTTTAGTTCACAGCACAAGTGGTTCAAAGATGAGAAATCACACCATTATAGATCAAAAGAATAGTTTGTTCATAAAGAGAAACAGAATTGTACTAAGGTATCAATATTTCGGCCACTCTCTCCTTAAAGTATACAATTTCTTAAGTTTTATCTTAACAAATTTTGTTATATGCCTTTATAAAGCGGGCTTAACTGCTTATCAGTTAAGGACCTTTGTCGTCTTTTGAGTGGCCTATGTACAATTTTAGTGATCCAACAAATTTCCAGAAAACAAAATGAGAAGAATGGACTTCACAGTTATCAGGTAATAATTTTAATATGTACATATGCAATTTTCGCTTAGGGAATTACCCCTCATTGAATTATATCTGTCCATGTGAGCTTCATCCTCCCATGCCCTCCAAGTGTGAATCTGCAAGAGATGCCAAAATGTCCATAACAAAGAAGTTTAAATTAAATGAAAAAAAATTAAAGAAAATAACACAACTACATGAATACATTCAGAGAAGGATGATAAGTAAAGGCCTAATATAAGTTTATTATTCAAATGTTCAACTAAATCTTGCAAAAGTAATGTCCTTGGGCATCTTCGGGTATGAAGTTCCATACAATGAGATACCATGCAAGTAAAAATTCACGAGCATACGATGTGACTGAATGAAGAGTAGAAGATAAATCCGAAGCCCAATAATATTGCAAGTATGCTTCCAATATTAGATACAAAATAAAAAGCTTGAAGCCGATGAATGAGACATTTTTACCTTTACAATTGCCAGCAGCATTGTTAAGCAGCTGTAAGATATATGAGTAATTGCCATAACAAAGATGAACCGATGGAGTTGCTCAAGGCCTTCATATGAAACAAATGGCTCATAATTCTGCGACGACAAGATAGAAAGCTTGTCATGAATTCTCTCAAACTCATACGGATCAATAACCAAACTAGCAAAACCCATAAAAACTGACTCACCTCCCGACACATATTTTGATTCAAACCAGTCAGTACTCTCCTAGACGACGCCAAAAGTTTCCGTTCCTTCAAGCTACTATCTTCTCTTTCTTCATCAGCTTGTTTCTTAGTGCATGGGGTAAATGCACTATCATAGAACATTGAGGGAATACAAATATTCGATATGATGCCCGCACTTGCTGTAAGTAGTAGTGATATGAAACCAAGAAGCATCAATTCTGTAGAAAAGTATCAAATGGAGCTCGAAGTTATATCTCCATTCCATATGTCCTTTTCAGACTGCAACAAGAATAACTATTATACCTTCCTTCATCTTCTCAACAGCAGCTTGTAATGGTTTTCGATTAGTTTTCTCCAGCCACTGAAAATTATGAATCATGTTGATAAATAAACAAGAAAACCTGGATTTGAATCTAATCACAAAACCAAAAAATTCAAGATCTCACACAAATAGTCAACTCTAAAGAACTCCAAACACTCAAAGATTTACAGGGGGCATTACCACATAAGTGATCGATAATTTCAAAATTAGGTAAGAGTGTCGCTCACATTACTCAGCCGATGAATAGAGCGCTCCACAAGTAATGAAACAACGACAAATATTGTCAGTACTGAAGCAAGAGACCATGTTGGGGTCAAGGCCAGTGACCTCAGCTCCTTTGCACCCTCTTGGGATTCCGACATCCTCAGCTAAACCAAAAGTGTGCAAAGCTTCAAGAGAAACCTACTAGCCCCTCCCTAATCTCTTAAAATCTATCCCTGCAACTCTGGAACATGGCACCCAGGGAATCGAATCATTTAAGGAATCTACCGAAGCATCTCGTCAAAATGCTCTCAACCGCTTGTGAGAATCATCCAGTGCTTCGAGAAGGCGTTCTCTTCGGCCTTAGATTTCAAAAGTGCATATGCGCCATTAACACCAAGCTCAGCACATCTCTTCAAAACCGTGTCATCTTCAAGAAAAAAGCTATATAAAAAATGCAAAAGGGGTTTTTTTTTTAACTGTTCTGCAAAAGTGGCATCAAACAAAAGCAAGAAAAGTGAGTAGAAGAAAAGGGGAAGAATCTCGAATCAATCTCTCTGTCCTTCCCTGAGGTGCAGAGGTTTCCCCCAGGTGTAGTTGGATCTTGGACTGCAAATTTATTTTCTTTCTTGTTTTGTTCTGTTTCCATTTGAATTAAATAGTGATGTTCGAATTGGCGCAAGTGTCGCTGTCTCTCCATTAATATATTTATTGTATTTTTTAGTAGTGGAGTATTTATTTTCCGGGCAGTTTCCTTCCGTCTCCATTAACGGTGGCGGAATTTACGACAGTAGGGGCGACTCCAGACGACGTCGTCTCGTATCCTGGAAAACACGTATTCTGATTCCAGTTACTCTCGGAATCAGAACATGTGAATTTCAAAATCAATTGGTATTTGGTACTACTGTTCGTGACCATCAACGGATATCACATGCGCACATTAATATTATTTTATTGTTTGCCAGTAGTACTAGTTCATGCTTTTTTTTTTTAATTAAAAAAATTATGACTATAAAGGTTTTTGAAATTTTAAATTATTAGTAAAATTAATAATTATAAAAAAAATAAATTTGGACATTTGATGAAAATGGTTAGTATAAGATAATATATATAATGTGATATTTTTAATAAAAATAAATACATTTAATAAAAAATTCTACTATTTTTATATTTATATTACTAAAAAAAATTATTATATTTTAAAATTTATAATTTGTAATTTTTTTTTTAATTTTTATTAAATTAATTAATTATTTTAATTTTAATTTATAATTATTTGTATGCAAATTTTTATTTTTTATTTTTTTTGTTATAACTTTTGGAATTTTATTTAATTTTTAAATAGAACAATAATTTCAATATGACTCTCTCTCTCTCTCTATCTCTATCTCTCTCTTCTTTAAGTTAATGAGTAACAACAATTCACAGCTTTCATACTACATATTTTCTAGCATGACACAGTGAGGTCATTAGGGCTCAATTTATATACATATTTTTGACAATTTTGATCTATAATAAACTTCACACATTACTTTTTAGCTTGACTACTGAGGTCACTAAGGCTTTGTTTATATAGATTTTTTTTTTTTTTAATGTGAATTTTCTTTTATAATAATTATTCAAAAATATCAAATTAAATATATATTGTTTTAAAAAAATATATATCAAAGTAAATAATTTGTTACTCTCTCCATCCCAATTACGGTGTTCCTTTTACAATAGACACGAGAATTCAGTGGTGGTATAATTAGTAAATAATTAAAAATAAATTATGAAAATAATTATCGTATAATAAAAATAATTTTTGATTAAGATTAAGATAACTAATTAGTCTAATTAAAATTTAAAAAAAACTCTAAATTAAAAATTTTAAATTATATTAAAATATATAATTCTTTTCTAAAAAAAAATCACAAAATAAACGGGACAAACAAAAATAAAAAAGTATATATTTCTATTTTGGGACGTCTAATTACAAAGTAACCATTTCATTAAATACCTCATTTTTTTTTCACAAATACCCTTAATTTACATCACATTATTACTTTTATACCAAAAAGAAAGGGCAAAAATGTCATTATACTACTTTTACCTACCTTTATCCGTGGACGAGAGAGTATAAATTAGTGGGACTACCTAAATACGATCATACTTATTAAATGAATTATATACATAACACATTTGAGCCTAATTGATATTAGCTCACAAACTTGCCTATACAAGAGTATCTAATCTTTTGAGAGTCATACTTCCTCCGTCTCACCTACTGTGTCCACGTTGCCGTTTTTATCCGTCTCACATCACATCTCACTTTCATTTTTTGGAAATTGATTATACACCGTAATCTCATCTTAAATTTTTTAATTTTTAACTTTTTTTGAAAAACTTATAACTTTTTAAAATTTTAATAAAACTAATTAATTATTTTAATCTTAAGTTATGATTATTTATATTATAGGATAATTATTTTCACTAATATATTTTAAATTATCTACTAATTATATTTATTCTAAATTCTCGTATCTACAGTAATCCGGACACGATACATAAAACGGAAGAAGTATTTTCCGCAGTGAATGAAAAATGAACCAACCAATAACTGTTTAGAGATATAAATGAAAATTTTGTACAGCAATCAAAATAATTGGGTGTGATTTTCCCACATGCATGCATTAATTTTTATTATTATTTATTTATTATTTCAATTATTTGGGCCTAAATAAAGCAGCAGCCGACCACGACTTTATTTCACAGCTTAATCAATGCATTTAATTAAAGTCAAGAATAGTGCATGCAATTAAATTACACATATTAGGAGTTGACAACTGAATTTTCTTACCATATATACCTCATAACTCATTAGTAATCAAATAGATTCATTTGACGTTTCTATGATGAAATTAGAATGAATTAAATTAAATTAAATTAAACAAATATATCAGCACAAAATTAAATTAAATTAAATTTTTTAATAAGTATAATATAAATAATTCATATAAATTGAAAATAGTTTCATACAACATATACTATTATTGATTTTAGCACATAATATATATTCATAAAATATACCGTAAAATGTGAATTGTCAGCACTTTAATAATTATTTGGTTATTCAAAATTAATCTATTTGATCCCGTAAAATACAGTTAATTGGTGTGGTGTTTGGCTAGTGATCGTAGTAACCAATTTGAGTCTCACTTAATTTTTCTTGATCGAGAATGTTACACAAAATTTACTTAAGATAGCTTTCCCAACAAAGATAATACAAATCCATCATTGTATTCGACTTGAAAATTTACTCATTGTATACTAAAAAAATAACAATCACGAATTCTTGTGTTACAAAAATAATAATTAAAACAAGAATATGTATATACTTCTAGTAGCCTTTATATTGAAACCAAATTAATTTGGAAGAGTTTGGTAGAAATGGAGCATATTACACTATAAGAAAAAATTATTTTTGTAACAGAATTTTTTTGTCTTTAGATCTATTTTTTCCGTTACTAATGACATTAGAGACGGAATTAGTAATGAAATTACGTTAGCTACGTAAACTTTAGGGATGAAATATAATCGCCCATTGGAATGGGGTACGAACAAGTCAGGGAAATATGGAATTTTCTATTGTGACAAAATTATGTCATATATACTTTATCCCTAGAAATATTTTGAATTCAAAAAATAATTTGTAAATCTGGTGTTTTAAAGGAAATCGAGGTTGTGTTTTTGTTTTTCAGTTATTTAAATTTTGTGAAAATTTTGCTATTAAATTATTGAAAATCATAAAAATATTTTAAAAAATTATGATATGTTTTTGGGTAAAATAGTTTTTATTATTTTTAATCTTTTGTATAAAACAATAATTTTTTATTGAAAAATGTAGGTAAATTTTTATTTTTTTTACTAAAATAATAGGATAGGTAATATGTTCTTTTGGTTTTGAGTTTATTTTATTTTTACTATTTTTAAGTAAAATAATTATTAAATATAATATTTTGTTTGAAAATTGTGTGTTGAACATGATATTTTTGGAGAAAAGTAAAAATAAAAATTATTACTCAGAAAAAAATAAAAAAATATTTTCTCCGTCCACACAAAAAGTAAATATTTATTTTTCGCCTGATATTTAAGAAATAATAGTATTTTAATTATAGTGCGCAGTTAAAAGTAGTAGAATGATATTTTTGCCCTTACTTTTTGGTGTAAAGGTAATGATGTGATGTATAGTAAGTGTATTTGTGGAAAAAAAATGAGATATTTAATAAAATATTTACTTTATAATTGGACTTTCAAAAGTAAAAATATGTATATTTTCTAGCCGTGAACAGAGAGAGTATAAAACTTAAATTTCAAGCAAATGTCCTGCCCAAAAACACAAACAAATACACCCTAAGCATTAGTTTAATTTAATAAAAATATTATTTGAATCTCATTATCATTTGTAGTTCAAATTGGATTGGAATAATTAATTGAGTCAAGAAAATGATCCACATCAACATCCTGAGCCCAATAAACGATGACTACGACAACCAATAAAGTATCACCAACCATTATATATACATACCCGACCTGCAAAAAAAAGATTGTTTAGATGGAAATTTTTGGAGGTTTTTTAAAATTTGAAAGTTTGAAAAAAATAAAAAATTAATATTTGATTTGATGTTTTGTAAAATAAAAAAATATATTTATTGTGATATTTTTTAAAAATAAATAGTATCAAATGAACAAAAAAATGTTAAGGTAAACAAAGTAAAATTTTAAAAATAATTTTTTTTTTTTTAATCGGTACAACATGTATGAAATGAAAGGCCAATAAGATCAATTTATCTTTGTAGAGGATAGCTTCCAAACACCAGTTTTTTACTTATTTGTATTATTCTTTTTTTCAAATTATATTTTTTCTAATTCGTATCAAATTTAAATCAAAATTTTACAAACTTAAAAAAATAAAAAACAAAACATTGGAATATATATACACATTTTAAAAAAATAATAATCTTTTTTCTTTGGTTTAATAAATTGATTAGACAAATTAATAATAATACTCTGGATACAGAAAGACAAGAAAAAACAATCACCTGCCAAATATGATATGTCCAGTACGACTTTCTTGTCGAGCCTAATTTACAAAATATTAGATTTAGCCAAAAATTTATCGAGTGTGCACTTTCGGAAAGCAATTGCAATTCCCACGTAGTAGTAGTAGTAGTAATATAATAATAATAATAATTAATTAATAAATAAATAAAGCAGTCACTCAAAATTACAATCCAAATATGCAAACAAAAGCATAGACCATTTTCGGAAAAAAAAAAAAAACAATAGAAATAAAGCACAGCCTCACTCACTCCTATTCACAATGCCAATGGGCCTCAATGGGCCTCTCTCTCTCTCATCACATAAATAATGTGACTCTCTCTCTCTCTCTCTATATATATGTATGTATATGTGTCAGATGATTGGCTTCAAATGCTGTCGGAAAATTTGAAGCATTTTGGGGAAAGTGACGATTCCGAGAAGAGTACAGTCGTCGTCTTCAATGACCCACACATAGCTCACGCGGTGGGCGATCGCCTGAATCATCACCGCCACTAGCGAGCTCCATCGATGGCACACCATCGCCTCCGCCCGCCGCACCATCCGGGCCGAATACCCGCTTCCGGAACGCCCGACCCGACCCGCCCGCGCCAGCGGCGTCGTCGGCGACGGTAGATCCTCGTCGGACGACGCCGAATTGCTGCTGTACGGACCCAATACGAACTCCTCCACCATCCCCTCCAGCTTCTTCGCCTTCAGCCGTTCCTCCACCAGCCTCACGATTTCCTCCGGCGGGCCGCCGCAGTCAATGTAAGCCATCAGGTCGCCGGTGGAGAGCGTCAGGATCGCAGCGGAGACCGTCTCGTCGCAGCAGGCGAGCGTGGAGGGGGAGATTTCGCCGATCAGCATCCCGCCGGCGTCCACTACGGCCACCGACGTCTGCCGCGCGAGGGACCGGGAAATCGCGCCGACGGCGGAAGACGCCGGCGAGTGGTAGTCGGCGGCTTCGAAGTCGTCGGTGATGATGCCGAGGGCGTCGATGGAGAGCGTCGGGAGTGGGGAAAACTGTCCGATGGAGCCGAGGAGGAAACGGACGATGTCCTCCGGCGTTAGCCAGCAGAATTCCTGGCCGTTGTGAGTCGTCGGGAAAATCAACGGCGACGGCGGCGATTTCGGGAGATGCTTTCGCCGGGAACTTGTCTTGATCGGAATCACCAGATTCTGAGCTCCTTGCAGAATCAAATCAATGGCTTCCACCAAGCTGCGAACATCAAACAAATTAAACAGAGTAAACCCTAAAAATCAAAATTGAAAATTCCATTTCAGATCTGACCACCAAAAAATCCAAAATCAATCCAAATCGCGCCACAAATTAGCGTTTCCTTTTTTTTCCTACCTCGTTGAGGGTTCGACGTGCCTGACGAGGCCTTCGGATTTGGGCAATAAAACAGAGACGGGAGACTTGAGAGCTACCGCCGGCGAATCCAAATTATCTTTCTGGCAAAGAAAGCAAACGACGTCGACCATACACAATTTTCCGACGCAGGTGCAGTTCCTCCGGGAAGAGGAGTGGTCGCAGCTCCAGACACTGATGCAGTTATCCTGGACGGACTTGAGGGCGGCGATGGCGTCGGCGACGGTGGCGGTGGCCGGGAGGGACGGCAGCGGCGGCTTGCCCAGGCAGAGGTCGGCCACGACGTACGGATACAGGTGAGCTGCTGCCATACAAGAACAAAAGCCACAGAAAGAGTTGGAATTCGTTGGTGGGATTGAATTTGCAGAGCGAATTGAGAAGAAAGGTAGGTGGAGATTTGTGGTGTAGTTTATGAGTATTATATATAGATGGACATTTGTGAGTTTTTAATGATTTTAAATCAAAATAAAATAAAATAAATTAGGAGAGAAGAAAAGAAATTAGGAAAAAGTACCAAAAGGGGCCCACGTCCTTTAAGATGTAATACTAGTGGGCCCAGTGAAATGGCCGTACTTGTCCCGATTTAGCGTCTCCATATGCATCCAATCCGTATAGGTACGATCCTTTATCAGATTTCAATTTACTTATTTATTTAGTTTTATTATTAGTTTTTTTTTTTTTTAATCTTTAAAATGATTTTTATAATTATCTATCATGTCACTTTTCAATCATTTTCAGCATAATTCGATTGATTAATGGTGCGTCTTTTTTATCAAAAAATTTCCAAATTTTATTGAATTCTGTATTTTTTTGAAAGAATAATTTCTCTCACAAATATTTTTATCAGATATTATTTTAATAACAAAATTTTCAAAAAAAAAAAAAGAAAAAAAAGCACACCCTTAATTAATTAAACTATTTTTAATAAAAAATAACTTTTATTAGAGAAATGTAAAATAAAAACAACATAAAGTTACACAGCAACGTAGAATTATATATATGGTTGTGTGACAATATCGCTGTGTATATTTTATACGACCGTGTGATAACATAGTCATGTATAATTCTACGTAGCTATGTAGTTTTCAGGTCAGCTGCCACGTCAACCGCGTTACGTCTACGTCATCAATTTCCGTTAACTTTTTTAACATTGCAGGAGATCAAAATTGATTGAAATTATTTATAATGAAATTAAAATTGATAAATTTTTTATATTAAGACCAAAATTGATACAGTTTAATTATATTACGATGAAAATCGACTTCTTCCCTATTATTAATGATTACTAAAAAAATAAGTGATACTAAGGGCGTGTTATTTTTTATTTCTCAAAGTTTTGTTTTTGTTATTTTGATCAAGTAAAATAGTGGTTAAATTGTGATATTTTTTTATGAAAAATACTCCAAAAAAACTAATATATATACACTTATTATTTATCTACATAATTTTTTATATCTTATCTAAAAAAATATATTTTTTCAAACTATTTCAAAAAAAAAAAAAAAGCCTAGCATTTTTTACTATGTGCATTGAACGTGTTTGTTTGTGTTTAAAATAATTGAAACTTTGTAACTTAAAAGTAAAAAAGTAATGTAATATATCTCTATATATATATATATATATATATAGAAAACATCATAAACTTATAATATAAAAAATAATTTCTAAATTACAAACAAATATGGACTAAACATCAATTCATGTTCAATATTATTGTAACTACTCGATTCAGCCTCATATTTATTAATAGTTAACAATTTAAGCTTAAGGACAAAAATCATGCACATGAAGGAACGCTTTCTAAAGCACATGGCTGCATGCATATCATATACTACTATTAATGTTGAATAATTATTTTATTTTAAAAATAGTAAAATAAAATGAATATACAGAATTATTATTATTATTATTATTATTATTATTATTATTATTATCACACATCAATAGATAATAGTGCATTTATATGTGCTAATGATAATTTATAGTTATTTGAATTTTTGTTTAAATAATATTTTTTTTTTATGATGTGGAAATTCGCAGCCGCTATCCGAAAGTGGACAAATTTTTTTTTCTTTTTTTAATAAAAAAAAACATCAAAATAAATAGAATCGTTATTCTCCGCCTCAACATTTCATATGGATTCATTGCCCAATTATTAATTTTGAGGTTTTATCATTATAATTTGAAGTGAAATAAGATAATATATTTTATTAAAAATCATATAAATTAGATAATGTAAAAATTTGTAGTTAAAATCATCATCAAATAATGCCATAATGTTCAATGACGTGGATCTATGATCAACTAAAAGTTTTTAATTATAAAAAATAAAAAAACAATATACAGTTTCTACACTACAAATATGTTATTTTTATTTTTATTTTTTTGCTTCTCTATATATAAAATCACATCTACTCCAAAAATTGATATAAAATACTCTCTCCGTCCCACATACCATATCCACATTGTCATTTCTGTCCGTCCTATATACTACGTCACTTTCTTTTTCTGGAAAATGATTATACACTTTAATCTCATTTTAAATTTTTAAATTTTTTTTTTTTAAAATTTTAATTAAATTAATTAGTTATCTTAATTTTAATTTATAATTATTTATATTATAGAATAATTATTTTCACTAATATATTCTTAATTATCTATTAATTACACATCTCCTATAAAATACCGTATATACAGTGCAGCAGACACGGTACGTGGGACTAATTACACCCCTTCTAAAATACCGTATCTAACGTGCAGCAGACACGTCGGTGGGTCAGGAGTAAATTATTTAGGTAACTTGAACGCAACCCAAGACAGATTCGTCCCGTCACTAGCTTCGCAGTGGTCCATGATTACCACCAATAATAGGTTTTCTTTTTTAAATATTTATATGTAAATAAAATATAATTTCTCTTCTAAAACTACAGTTCCCCTTACATATCCTCCAATAAATAAATAAATTAAATCAAATATTTATTATTTTAAAATTTATTTTTACATTAAAAATATTATACTACAATTATTCTATATCATATCAAATAATTATTTAATTCAATTTATTTTATTATAATTTTCAAATTCATCTCTCAAATTTACATTATCACAAAGTGAAGAAAACATATAGGAACCATTTCTTTTTAAAGTTTAAATCTAATCTCACACTATTTTATCAAATAAATTTCTCCTAAAGCGTCAATCTAACACAACATTTTAATTTAATATATTACAAGAAAAATAATAATCAAAATTTCTTCAAAAAAATAAAAAAAAAAATCACATCAAATATTTACTATTTTTAAACCAAAACTTTAAATGATGACACTCTAAAAGTTTCCCCTTATAAAAGTGGCTTTTGTTTACTCGTATTTTCAATTGTATTTTTCATTATTTATCAAAATTTTGTTCTAAAAAAATAACATCTATCACATATATATATAACTATATACACGTATATTTTATTTAAAATATAAACTTAAATACTTAAATTTTCTTTCGGAATTTTACTATTTACAAAATAATTCAAAAAATCCAAACAATTCAAAAAATTATCTAAACAACCATTCACCTTTAGATTGTACTATCTTCAGCTTTCAAATTTATTTTTTCACCATTTATTTAGTAATATATATATATATATGTATATATATAGGGTTTTTATTTTCATTTTAAATATTAAGTTGATAATGCATTTTTCATTCAATTATCTAATGTGAAACCTACAATATATAAAGGCAAAAGTTGAATAGAATAATATATCATACAGCTGCCTTTGAATTCTATGTAACAACTTGTAACTTGCAACATTTAATAATATGATTGTCTTTTACATATTTTAAATACTTATATTATATAAAAATGTTGGAACAAAAACTACGATAAGATTAAAAAAAAAAAAAAAGTATTATTTGTTAATAATGTGATCGATAAGTTTCACCTCTCCAACATAAAATAAATATAATAAATTAAACATTAGTTTGGATTTCTTTAAACCATTATTTATAATAATTATTCAAATCCAAATTAGTGGAAAACAATTTTTGTTGGTTGGTCATATTCCTAAGTAAATCACTTTTTAACATAAACAAACATTAACCTAACAAGTTAAAGTTACATTCTTCATATATTAAATTAATTGTTGAAATCATATATATCTCTGCCTAATTGGATTATTTAAGTAGTGGATGAATAGTAAAAAATGTGTTTTTACTAACATAATTTTTTAGGAATATTAAAAAGAATACATTTATTTTGTCTCATTGCAAATGAATTAAAACAAATTTTTGATTCGAATAGTAATGTGAAACCATTGACCAAACAAACAAACCATAAGAAAATATCGGGTCTATTATTTTCACAATTGGATTTAGATATTTGAGTTATTTATTAAAATAATATTTAATATTTCCTCCGTCTTATATGAAAGATACTATATTTTATTTTTGTTCGTCCCAAAAAAAAGGATACTATTTATTAATTTGGTAATTATATACTACCTACCTAATATAGTTAATACCCTTACAATTTCCAATATATTACGCAAATATCATTACTTTTTTATCACACAATCTAATAAGGACATTTTTGTATTTTTCATTATAAACTAATATAATATTAATATTAAAAAATTTACGTGTAAAAAATAAATATTACTTTTTTTCCGGGATGAAGGTGGTACGTTCTTTTATGAAATATATATATATATTAAAAAAAAAACATTAGAACTAAAAAAATAAAAACCAATTTAGAAATTGGAAATGAACAAAAAGGTGTGTTTGCATGTGGCTTTTAGTTTTTAAATTTAATTTTTGAACAGTAAAAAATTAAATTTAAATAGTTGTATAATTTAATATAAATAAAAGTAAACGTAATATTTTGAATATAAAATAAATTTTTAATATAATATAAAAAAATAATTATTTAATATAATATTTTTTTAAAAAAATAATATAAATAATAAAAAAAAATAATAGAAATAATAAAAATACATGATAAAATGCACGAAATAACACAGCTATTTCTTTTCTTTTATGTTGGTTCATTTCATTTTGGTTTAATTTCTAACAGATGTGATATATGTCATTATCAATCATATTGGTACATACAGGTGAATGAACAAACCCTTGCTGCTGGGAATATATATATATATATATATTTACTGTTTACATACAGATATTGTGTTTGTCCTAATTTGGTTGAAAGTTTTGAAATTAATCAAATTATTTGACTGATATTGTCGTGATCAGGCGACCTGCAATGGCCCTGCTGGATTCTACATGCACACAGCTGGCTTTCCATTTGACAGTACAATAATAATAATACTCCCTCCGTTCCATATACCGTGTCTGCTACACTGTAGACACTAGGAGAGGTATAATTAGTAGATAATCAAGAAT